AAAATCAGTTGCCAAAAAAACATCAGTTAATATGTTTTAAAATTAAATACGCACATAAATACATAATTTTGGTATGATGTTTATTCATTATTCATTTCTTTATTTGTAGGTATATAAGTTTTAGCATTCAGTAATCATAAAATCATTACTAAACCTTTTTTAACCTAATCTAATCTTGATATGAAGTATGTGGCTTATACGGAAGATTACTTTATTTCATTCTGATAGTTCAAGGTCGACGAAAAATATAGGTTATTTTATTTTTGTGTTATATGTAAAAAATTCTTGATTTGGAGTACTTGAAAACCAATTTCTTTTAGGGCTATTCTAATTTCTATTGCGTCTGTTATTGATTGAAAGTTTTTTTTACTATGCAATAKTCTTTGTCCTCTCGCAATTGGTAAGTATGGAATTCGGATTTTGCCTTTTGTAGGTAGTGGATTATTGCTATGCAGGTTTCCGGATTTTTCGTTTGAACTTTAAGATTATTGACTTACATGAAAAGTTTTCAGAACCCACAAGGTCTATCAGTCTATGAACTCAAATCGTAAATATACAAAGTCTTTTACTCTTTTTTTTACTATTATGGGAGTGGGTAGATGTGTAATTTTTGATGTTGAGGTTTTGCTTCGTGGTTATTTCATCTGAGTTTGATGTAATTGTGTCGACTTTAATTAGTTCAGTTTGTGATAGCACTTCAAATCGATTTTTTTTATGAAATAGTTTTTTATTTCTGATGATATTTTTTATGGTTGGAGATTTAGGTTCTGAGGAACTTGTGATTTCCTCAGAAGTGATTTCTTTATTCGGTATGTTGTATCCACTGTATCCAGCCATCGTCATTTGGACTATTTGAATTATTTGGTGAAGAAGGATGGCTCAAATCGGGATTATTTGTAGGTATGTTTAGGCGAACATCCTGTATATTCATTTTATTAATTTTATTAATAATATTTTTATTTTTATAGTTAGATTTTACATGTGGCGTAGTGGCGTGTTTGTCTCAGCTTGGGTYAAAGGTCRCGTACCACTGAGCTGTGCTCGCGATAACGCAAAAACTGTACGGTAATTAAGACACTTGAAATTAGTAYGAAATTTAACTCGATTCTCATTATATAAMAATAAAATTATAGAGACATATTATGAGAATTTATAGAATCCATTAGATAGTTTTTKAAATTGCGATTTTACTAACCAAATTTGTGAAAATTTGGACGTAGATGACCAAATTTGCAGCGATATTTTAACAAAATTACGGAAAAGATGCGTGCGTTAGATACGGCTACTCGCACGGTACTGTTACACAATAATTATACTTAAATTCGTAAAAATAATTAACGTGATAATATCTTATTTTCATTTTGTAATTTTATTAAAAATTGTRCAAATGTGTAGAACAAATTGGAACTATTACACTCGTAAAACAATTTATTATTTAATATATTTAATATGCTATTTGAGTTACCAATGTTATATTATATTATTATTCGTGTCATATTCTATATTTTGAATTTTAATACTATTTTATTGTAATAGATAAAGAAAAAAAATAATATGATTAGATTAAATACATTTTTTGAAAAATCTTTTCCACATTAAGCGTTAAACAATTAACAGTAAATAATATATAATTATACATTTTACCTACTGCAGACATAAGTGCTTAAATCTTCAACTTAAATTAATTTACATAAATGCAACTTCTTACACAATTTAATTTTTTCATTTGTAAATATTTTGTGCTTGTACTTTTGTACATACAATTTGATATGCAAATTGTTTTATGATTAGGCATAGGTA